GTGTAACACACATACACACACACATAGCTTAAGGTGCAGGTAATATTTCATGGTATCGCATTGATTGAAATACCCATCAATTTTTTTAAATTTGAAATTTCAAGTTAATTTTCAAGGGAATATTAGTCTATTGGCTCAAGTTTTGACATACATTCTTTACATGTGTACAACATTTCTGCAAAGTGCTTGTATTATAATACAGATTTTTGGTAGATTTTATACTTTATATCTGTATTAGCAGTGCTGCAATTTTAATTAAAAAAAAAAGCTAAATGCATACTTAATGCAGAGATGTATTCCTAAACTGATGTGGTAATGAAGCTTTTTAGGTTTAATAAGTAACTAAAATCACATTTTACTGGAATTAATTTTCCACTTAGAATCAAGGGTGAGTAAAAATTGCCTTTCCAGTCTATGTTTTGTTTGCCACAAGACACAAAGAGAAAATCCAACTTCCCCCAACAATCTCCAAACAACTCTGCTAATCAGTCATTCAATATATTTCAAATTTATAAAATGGTTTTCAGTTAATTTCATGAATTTTAAAAGTTAAAAAACTTAGCTTTTAAGAAAACATTAAAATATGTTTTTTTCATTCTTTTGAGTGTTATTACTTGATAAACTTGTTCAACAGTGACAGTTTATAAAACTCGTATAACATTAGATCATAAACTTAAGATTTTTGTTTTAGGTTTGTACATAAATTTTTAATTTAAACTTTATATTATACTTTATACAGAGAAGTGCAGAAATAAAGTGTCCCTACTTTAGAGGATAATATAAACTAATGAATTCTCCACTTCTAAATATAAAGAATTACACAAACAAGTACAAAAAGAGAAGTTCTACTACAGAACTAAAAAAACAATTTATTCATATAGCTTCAAGAATAAACTTTACACAGAAACAAAAACTCTGAACTTTAGAAAATATTCTACTGGCATAACCTGGAATACAGTTAACCACAACAAGAATATCTAATGAAAAGATATTACACTGCTTCACTAGCTCCATAAATTATACATTTTATACATATTACATCCTACATTCTTAATAAACATTATTTTAATGATATACTGAATATGAGCTCTAAACACTTTTTGTTTAGTCTATTGATACTTCTTATTTGTAGCTGTTGCTTCAAAAGATCAACAATGTTGCTATTCTTTATTCTATTACTTGACATATCTTATGTATTTTGCTAATAGAGAAATCCTAAGTCGTTTTCTCAAATTAAAATATTTTAATTTATCCAATAGATATAACTTATATAACAATTAAATTTACTGGCAAGAAAACTTAGAATGCTGTTCTAAAACATCTTGTCAATCCAACAAAAGCATATTGCCTAATCCAACAAAAGCCTAGTAATCCAAACCAAAATTAGTATGAACCTTTACAGTTTTAACCAATGACAACACAGATTCAATGAAAATTGGTTTGTTAGTTTATAAGGTATCATAATAATATTGTAAATTCACAAAGTTTCAAAACTTGAAATCTAAAATCTTCCAGTAATTCTCACTTGAGGGATTCCTGTAGAAGGTGGTTGTGGTGGTGGTTGTTGTAAGTTAGTAACAACAGATGGCTGGTAACCTCCAAAGCCTGTTGGTGGTCGACCTGTTTGTAAAGGTGGTTGTGGTGGGCGAGACATGACTTGATGTGGGTTAGAAGAAAATGGAGGGTACTGAGAAGGTATTGTAGGAAGTGGAGGGACACTGTACTGTGTTGAGGGGGGACATTGTGGTTGGCTGGAGTAATGATCAGCAAATCGTGGAGGTGGGTTATGGGGCCTGAGAAAAGGTCTAGTATGCAAAGTAGGATGCTGGAAGTTGTACGGTGTTTGGTTGGATGGAAGAGTGGGGAAACGATAACATTGTAATTGTGGGTGAGATTTGATCTCTGGATGATGGTAATATTGATTTGTGGTTAGAGGGAAAGGAGTATTGCATGGGGCAAGAGGAGAAATAGAAGTGGGGTAGGAACAATGACTTGTTGGAGCAGACTGATCTGAGCATCCACCGTTAGGGACAGTCCTAGCTCTAGCTGTCATTTCACTACTTATGACTGGCTCCTGCTGTTGACTGGAAATGTTTACATTACTACCAGTGGTAGTAATTGGAGTGACAGGTTCATCCTTATAGGGAGAATCTTGAGCTGTCTGGATAGTTGAGATTGAAGCAGTAGCTGCTACAATGAGTGGTATGGTTGACATAGTAGAATCTTCATGCAAGTTAAAATCTTTAAGCTCATTCTTTTCTACTTTTGGAATAGACTGGCCCAAAGGTGATTCTTTGCTTGTAGGTTGTTGAGGTGGCGACAGTGAAAGTTGTGGTGGTGATGTTAACTAAAATGGCACAAGTTATACTCTTATGTAAATTAAATACATCAGCAAGAGCACTTAATTACTATATCCACAGCACCCACATTTCTACGATTTTTAGGAGTTGGGTAGAGGGGGTCCCATTTTCACAATATTCACCATAAGTGGAATGATTTGAAACAGGCATAGCATAGTAGAGATTCTCCCCCCCCCCCAACAAAAACTTTTCAAAAATGCATTTGTCAGAATTTGGGAACACAAAATAAACTATTTATTAGCATGTGCAATTGAATTAAAACACAAAATGATCTGAAATCTATGGCTTTAAATCACTAATTGGTATATCAGTTGTCTTAGTTGTCCAATAGCAGTAACAGGTAGTTAGGTTTCCCCTTTTTCAGAGCAAAAAAAGAAAAAGAAGACAAGCATAAAACTTTTGTTACTCAGTTTGTGAAGTTCCAAAATAAGTAATAATTATTTTATACCATTAATGAAAATTTGAGTATTATATCCCTTACTACTGTTATTTAATACAAGTATAATAAAAAAATTTTTTTTTTTCATTTTATAAAGACAAGTAGGGATCAATATATATATAAACGTAACCTAGCTAGCTTTTGTAATATAGACAGTTTTAATGCTACAAAAGTACTGAAACAGGAGAGTAACGTTAAATTTTAATATTGAAAGTCATGTAGGGATGATCTATGTGTAGCTGTATCATCCCTATATTCTTGTTTGCAATCTTTTTTGGCACTGCAATTCATACATCATTTTACATTTACAAAATATTTTTTTATTACTTGTTTTGCGACATTTTTTCCCCCTGCCTGAAAGTTGATGTATTCTATGTAAGTTTGTAATAAAAAATAAAATTTATTATTATGTGTATTGATTTTTTTTTACTCCTTGACTTCATACATAATATAGGGGGTTAGCTCCCTAAAGACACCAATTGTATTGTGTACATAGCATTGAGTATCTACATGTTACAGTCATCTAATGTTCATCTATCATTGGTTGGTAATTCCTGTTTCACCCAGTTTTTTGATTACTACTAGTTATTACAACTAAGCGATGGAATCATGCACTGCCCATAAACACATAGAGTGGATTTAGGTTTAAATTGACGTTAGTGATAAAGTAGTTGTAGAGTTATATCGACTGAAACAATAAGAAAAATTAACAATTTGGTGGGTTGGTCACTTTCTGGTTTTGTATCTTAGTGATGGTTTCTCTCCTTGTTTTTGGGCTTGTGGGTTGAGAAACAAATGAAAGTGAGTGGCAATCATCTTTTCAAGTAAAACCTTCTGTCATTGTTGATTTTTTAGCATGTATATTTGTATTATGCCTATTGAGTACCTTGGCTATCCCTACATATAGTCTACCAACTCTATGATACATTATGATTTTCAACCTCTGAAAAATGGGGTTTGTTTGCACTCAAATTGCTACTCACAACCCTGGAGTGCACATGATACATGGAATTTAAAAGAACAAGAAAGGAGTTCAATTCATCCAAAACAAAGTTAGCATTTCTTGAATACATACTTTGATGATGATGTTTTTATCATCTCAACCAGGAGTTGATACATGTGATATTTTAAGTTATCTTTAAACCATCTGTATATAATACTTCATCTTATTGTATGTGCTCTTTAATTTTTCTGTTCAATGTTACAAGAAATGTCCAGTCTATAGGATAATGGGAGAATTCCGAATATATATTCAATGTACAACTTGCATGATTTGAGTGTCAACATTTAATTTAATTCACTACAGCTTCTCTTAGCCCATAAAGATCAAACTCGTACTATAGCAAGTAATTAGGTTGTTAAATCTCTCACACTTCCAATTAATTTAAATCATATCTTGAGCAGAACTCTTTTGGATGACTGAAAATCATTAACAAATACAAATCAATGAAAATGTTCCAGTGACTTTTAAAATTTCCAAAAATATACAATATTGTATGAGGAAAAAGTTCTTAAAAGAACACCAATTGTTCATTTTAACTTCTGTTTTGTTTCTTCTTCATTCCAATTTCTGTTTTTTTTTAATATTATTTTACTATTAAATAAAAAATGTAGATCACAAGAAATTTTCAGAATTACTAAAAAAATAAAAGTTACATTTCATATTCTTCTTTCGGAGTTAACTTACAGGTTGTAGTTGTTTATCAGATTTCAGTGGTGATGTCGAAGGGAAAGAATTTTCTGGAATACTGGGAGTTGGAGTGGAATACAAGTCCAAAACTTGGTGACAAATATCTGAAGAAAAATATCAAATCTATATAATAACACTCATTTTATCCAGAATGGTTTAACATCCAACTCAACTACTCATGCCCTCAATTTTGTAGTTAACGTCAAATGAGATTGTCAATTACACTTATAACACTAAAACCTTAGGAATTTTAATGCACTCGATCACTAACAAGAACATCCAAATATTAACCATAAATTGACTATTTCATAATCTTATAGTGTCTCTCTCCAAAATACATACCAGTAACTCTGCTGACCACTTATTATCAACATGGTAGCTCATGTTGATCAGCTTATTATGGTAAACCAATTATACTTATAATTTTATTTGTTTTGGTCACAATTAATAGGTCCGAAGTTCATAATTGCAATGAAGTACAAGATTCTGAAGTTAAAATAAAACTGACAATAATAGAAATGTCAAAATAATACACGAGAGATCTGGCTAAACTGTGAACATCGTAATGGTACTTGGTAATGGTAGCCTTCCACTAATTCTGTCATATATGTAAGTTTGTAAAAAGTAAAATGTTGTGAGCATATATATGATCGGTGTCTTCATAATCAAACTCTGTCTTGTTAGTTGGAATTCACCTGAAGTAAAAGAGATAAGGCATTTCAATGAAATATTAAATGACCTTCTAACACATCTATTGTCAAGTCCTCTACAAAAACCTCCCACCAATGCTGATGTTTTGATGTTCTTCCAGACCAGTCCAATACTTCAAATTTAGAAAGTTTTCCAGCAAGAAATATCAAGGCAATTGCTATTATTTCTGGTTCCCACTGCAGACATATTGTTGTACACAAGCTGTGAAAAAATAAGTGAAGAAGAATTTATAAGACACCTTTGAAATATATGTTAAGAAAAGATAAAACATGACACTGTAATCCAATAGTGTTATAAACATAAAGTAGGCCTAATTTACCCATAATACTAATGTTGTTCATTGTTTTCTTTGAACTATTTTTTTTATTTTTCTATTTCAAACATATGCCAGATCTATCAGTAAAATAGAAAATAATTTCATATTTCCAAAGAAACAACATTCAAAATATCCTGTAACACAGAATTACCTAAATTTAACATTAGGCCTAAACTATGGTGAAATCTGTGTAGGTTTCTGTGCTTCTAATGTACAGTGTGTTTTGGTTTTAATCTTAGTGTCGAATAAAAAATAAAGTTTCAATTAACTATCAGTCCTCAACTGGGACCCCCAGTCTGAAAGTACTTTGAAAGTAAAGAGCCTATACAATCTAATAGTCAGTATGTTTTCAATGGGATGGAGAAAGATCAGTGTTACTACATTGGACATAGCTTTTGTGTTTGTGTGTGTGTGTTTTTATATAGGAACAGCACGCACACTGCTGCTTCTTGGCGAGAAACCCCCAAGCCACAATACAACATTCCACCAATTAACGCCTCCCACGAGCTAGATACCACCACCTGCTTACCTATACCTATAAATATCCACCAACAGTAATCACAATTCACACAACATTCAGCCTTGATAATGGATGCAGAATGCATTCGAAACGCGTCGGCCAACTCATCACTAAATATATATATATATATATATA